CACCGATGACCTAGTTGATGTCATCATTTACCCAGAATGCTTTGCGTGTAAATAAAATGGCTCCGTCCATGTTAAAATATTTTTAAAAATTTACAAAACTAAATAGCCTACAATATTTTTACAGTCTTTATTTTACAGTTAAAATATATTTTTATCAAATAAAGTCTAATGTTACAACTAATCAGGGATCCCTTTAAGAACTTAGCCTTCCTTGGACTTCAACTGATTAACTTTGGGAATCAACCAATTCAAGATGGCCGCCATAGCCCACGAGCTAATGCGAAAGCTAAAAAGGCTAAAGCTRAGGCTCTCCTTCCACGATGCAGCTCTGTTGTCCTCCATCATTTTCAGTTTCTGTCATTTTCTCTGTCAACACACTGGTTTCATTTAAAAACACTGAACATCAGACATTGTCCAAAATTAACCTTCAAGCTGGATGGAGTAGCCGGAGCAGCCAGTATAAATCATTTACTCAAAATGCTTTGTGGCACAAATAACGTGTAGTGGTCATCATTAATGTAGTGTTTACACCTACCTTCCTTCTTATAACAAGGTTATAAGAAAGGTATTTTAGCAAGGATCACTTTATTTTCACTAATATCTTCTTTGTACAAGAATGAATGGACAAAACACAATAAGATGAGCGTACTCTGTGAGTTTAAGTTGATCTAAAATAAACAAGATAATTTATTTATTTACAGAATCAAATAAATCACAAATGTACATCTTATTGTGAGATTAATTTCCTATAAAAAGTTTAACAACAAACTTTGAGATTTAGATGTTAATAAACCATTATTTGTGGCACTTTTCTTAAGGGTTTGGCAGGGAATAAGCAAAAATTAAGAAATAGAGAGAAAAGGAGTGTTAACCCTAAATTTTATCTTAACTGGTTTGATTATTCAGCATCTTCTGATGTCTGCAAGTTTGAATGGAGAGTCGTAGCCAATTGGTTCCTCTTTCAAAAATAAAAGACGTCTCACAGAAGTTTTGAAACAAAACTCAGTGGAGTCTTAAAACTGGTGGTTTGGTCACGACTACTGGTGTGGTGGACTTAGGTTAAGATCTGCTCATTGGCGTGTGAGCTTAGATCTTATCACCGAACGCTGGTTTTCCTGAGGAGGAAAACCTCAGCTCCACTTGGTTTGAAACGAAAATGGTGATTGGTTGTCGAGAGGCTTGTCTGGAGTTAGTATACTAGAGAAGAGGTTACTAACTGACATGGCCTTGAGTTTTAGTGTTAGTAACAGGTGGATTTTGAAATTTAGTCTAGGAAATATCAGTCGTCTGGTAAACACTGCACATACATAAGAAAAACAAGGTCAGGCTGTGCTGTTCTCAGTTTTTTACTGGATTAATTCTAAATGAAAAGGAACTAGTTTTCAATGAAATACTGAGGTGAATTATTTAAACCAACATAAAACTTAAGATATTTGTTTAAGACTTAAGCGCAAATAACCATATATATTTCAAAGTATAACATAGTGAACTAAACCAAAGATATTGTTTTAGTTAAATTGAAAAACAAAACAGAAAAACACATACCGGTAATCACCTTACTGTCAAATAACAGTTGCTTTAAACACTTATTTGCATAAACAAATAAAGAAACATTGGAACAATATTCTTTTTGTGTGTTTTTCTTTTTAAAAATTAACAATATATTTTTTAAAATTTGTAAAACCAGTCTCATTTTATAGTTGAAGTAAATGTTTATAAAATAAAGTCTAATGTTACAACTAGTCAGAGATCCCTTTAAGAGGAAGGAAAATGTGTATAACTCAGCGAATTGTACGCAGGTTGTGTTAAAATAGATGTRRTAGTAGCTGAGAGTCATCCCTAACACATACTGGAAGTGTTAACATGTAGAAAGAGTGTTTATGTGGAGGTGTTGCTGAKATGTAAATCAGTGGATCTTAAGCTAAAAGGTTCTAATCCTGCGTTTAGATTGAGTTTTTCTCTCTGACTAGCAGTACTTCCTGTGTTTTACACTTTCAGCCACATGTTTTCACCTGCATGATGTAGTTTCCAGGCTTGACATCTGTGATGTCGATCCACTGGCAGTCGATGTCATGTCGGTACTGATCCCAGCAGCCCACGGTGATGCCCTGATCGCCAAAGTTGGCACACTCGTATCGTTTAGAAACACCTAAATGCGACAGACAGACAGGGCGTTACTAGTGACGGGTCTAAAATATATTTATTGGTTCGTTTCTGAACTACTGGTGAGAAAAATCTTTCACTTGGAATAATTTACGTGGCAAAAATGTAAACCATTATCTATGTCAGCAATTCTGTTTTAGATTACTTGACACTGAGAAAAACTCTGAACCAAGCATCAGACTCACCCTCTTGACAGTCTGTGTCCTCGAGGCAGAAACTGGCTTTGTGGCCCTCTGCCACCTTCGTACCATTTGCATTCAGCAGGTCATAGTGAGTGAAGATATCCATGCTGTGATAGTGGCTGTAGATTAGGTAAAAAAAAAAAAGTTAAATTGTTTGGCCAAAACAACTACTTTTCTTTTTCTACCTTTTACTAATTGAAGGCATGATTTACCTCAAGAGTGTAAGCTAATCACAACTGCACCTTAAATATCCGACTGAGCTCACCTTTTCTTAAAGGAAACCTCTAATTCTAATCCAATTTTATTTAAAACTCCTCAAAAGAACAATGTCACGTAGAGTAAGCACTTATTCAAAACAAAACTAAAATGAATAAAAACAGGAATCACCTTTTTACATAATAAAATTGTCAGATCTGTAGTAGGTTTTGACCCAGAGAGCAGGTAAAAAACTCAGGAGCTCAAAAAAAAAATCTTTTTATTATAAAATAAAGGACTGACATGGCGGCAAAACCTATTTAAACCGAACTGTTTATATAGCCTGAACACGTTCAGACTGTTAGGTCACTTCCACCAGTTAACTCTATAGGGACATTTTCCCATTCAGCACCGCTGAACACACTTGCAGGAACAGGCAGCACACAGGACAAACTACACTGAAAAAAATAACTTGTAAGATGTACTTGAAAAAAATCCTCTAACGAATTTGCACTAAAGTTTGTTAAGTAAATTTAAATGCTACAAATTCATGTAACATTTACTCTCATCATTATCTAGTAAAAGTTACTAAGAATATAGTTAAAGTTTTGTGAATAAATCAGGTAAATTTTACTTAATTTGCTCAATTAAATCTTGTAACATGTACT